CTTTATAGCTTTGTTATTAAAAAAAATTGTATATTTAGACTAAAAAATACTCAAAGTGCGATTTATTAATTACCGATGTCAGTATAATTATTTCAAGGGATTCGTTCCAAAAATGAATAATATCGAAATGTCACTGTCAAAGGCACCTAAAGTAAAAAATACTCAAAAGCAATCATCCATTATCGATACCGATGATATGATGAAATCAAATTTCTTAAAAAAAGAATAAAATCGATATGTGACAGTCAATGGTCGGCCGGCCTATGATTTAAACAAAATGGTACTTGATCAAATCAAAGAGTTATTAAACAAGTGTTTAATGACTATATTAGCTCCTGTAATGTAGTTGTAATATAGTCTCCTAGATCATATGATAAAGCCGGGTAGAGTATTTTTTGTTGAAGTATAAGAACTGCTTGATCTATATGGACAAATTATTATTGATTCTATTTTGGAGACTAAACATTGGTGTAATATTTCTGAAATACATATGGAAAATTGGAAAATTGGAGTTCCAAAATACGGTTATCAACGCAAACTTTGCACTAGTAAGATTGTTGCATATGTTTTTATTTTTTTACCAACATACAAATATTCTCAAACTTGTCAAAGAATTGAAACAATTTTTTTTTTCTAAAATACGTACTTGTATTCATACATATACACGAAACGTGCCACGCACCTGCCAGTGTTAATCTTACCTAAGTTAGACATTTCCGTAAAATTATATATGGAATAGAAAACATATGTGTCATTGTTCAAAATGTTTTTGTTCTAATTTAATTTGAAAGCGTTTCTTAAAAGAACATACTCGTATATAATATTATAATAACATATAAATAAAAAATAATATAAATAATAATAATAATAACATATAAAGAATAATATATAAATAATACTAATAATAATATATAAATAATAATAATAATAATATATAAATAATATCATAAATATATATAATAATAATAATAATAATAAATATAATAATAATAATAAATAAAATTATAATAATAATAATATAATAATAATAATATAATAATAATAATAATAATATAATAATATATATAAATAATAATAATATAATAATAATAATAATAATAATAATAATAATAATAATAATAATAATAATAATAATAATAATAATAACATATAAATAATGATATATAAATAATACTAATAATAATATATAAATAATACTAATAATAATATATAAATAATAATAATAATATATAAATAATAATAATGATATATAAATAATATCATAAATATATATATATCATGAATATTCTTAACAACATCGTACATTTGATAGAACGCACGGTGTTACCATGTTGAACATCATAGTATATTAATATATTAATCAATTTTTGCAGTCAGCTGATTTGATGCAGTATTAAAGGATCTTATAAAGTCTTAAATGCCTTTTGAAGTATCTTCATTGAGGCGGTTAAATGAAGATTGGGTAAGAAGATTTCTTAAATTTAATCAGCTATGATTAACAGTGATCAAGTTGAGAGATCACAAACCTCACTTAAAGCGTAGAGACGTAGAGGTAGACCGTGTCTCCGATGGGGTAATCAAGTTGAGGGATCACAAACCTCACTGGATGTACAAGAGTGTAGAAGATATTCACGCAGTAGAGGCGCCTGAAGAGACATGCTGTGTCAAGCCGAAACCTGGTAATGGCTTGTTATGAGGAGTTAGTAAGTATATTTAATAGATATATTAAATATTTTTTTATAGTATTTATTATATTATTTTGTTGGAGACGAAGCATTCTGCACGTTACATAAACATTATTTGTTGTATCGGACACAGGCTATTATGAAGCATTAATCAATCGTGTATATAATTTTATGATTTAGATATTATTAAGATTGCATTTTAAATTTGTCGTTGTGATAAAAAATAATCAAATAATTAGGTTTCGTTTCAATTCGATTTAACAAATATAATACTAAAAATTTAAATATTTATTTGGCATAAAGCTTAATAATTAATAATTGTTGCTCAATAATAACAAAAGTAATACTGTAGTAAATACAATCTTACTTTTAATTTGGATCATAATTACTGTTTTTAAATATAATACCGTCAGACTTTCATAACTCGAACTTCTATAACTCTAATTTTCCATAACTCGAACTTCTATAACTCGAATTTTCTATAACTCGAACTTCTATAACTCGAATTTTCTATAACTCGAACTACTAAAATAAATTTTCTATAACAGGGCTTAGAGAGCAAGTTACATGCAATTCTTTAACTCGAAGTCTGCATAAGTCGAACTTTAACTTTTCAAAATAGTACTTCGTATGTAAGTTTGACTGTATATGTAAATAATTATTTATTTCTTAGTGTTATGATCAGCTTGTTATATTATACCATATATCGTAATACAAAAATATTTAATAAATATTTATGTTTAAAAAACCGAATTTTTTAAAATAAATTCAACAGTTGGCATGGCATGGCATGCCTTTTGCACCTAAAGTGACGTTGGCATCATTGGTGGAAAATTGACTAGAATTTTTAAAATTTAATATAAACACAGTTTTTGATTAACAGAATGTTTTTTTTTTTGTTTGTATTTTTGGATTTATATAATAAAGAAATATTTTACGTCATATATTAACCATACACATGTATGTACTTATATACATAAATGCAGCTGTTTGCCACACATAAAAATCACCGTCAGCTACTGTCTTAAGTCTCTTCCACAAGGAAGTAAACCAAATGCAATAATTGTATACATAATGCACAATGTAGGAAACTACGTTAAAGCAAATAGTGGATGATGCACATAAGTGCAAAAAAAAAAAAATTGCAATATACGCGTTTATGTATACCATATGCACTTCTACCACACTTGCACATACCATAGAACACTCAACAATGATGTCATGTACAAGTTTACCGCCTTTTTGACTTCCTTTGCAGTGTGTTAAGGTTGTGATTTTCAAACAATTCTTGTTAAGGCATTTTGCCAAACTACGAGTATTTCAATGGCAAACCACCTCACCTCTAGTGCTCAGTTTGTAGAAGGTACAACAACAACAACAACAATCAGCTACATTTATTAGCTGAATTAAACTAACAAAATTAAAAATTGACATAATATAATACATACAACCATTAAAACATATTTTGCTAAACTTTCAAAAAATAATTTTTTTTTTCAACATTTTTTTTTTGTTGCATAATTGCATACAAATATTTTATTTCCACCGTGAAAAAAGCAGGTTGAATTGAAGTCGAAAATCAAAGATAAGAAATAGCGGCTAAAATAAAATACAAAAATGTTTAACTACATTGGAATGTAGCAGAAACGACGAAATACCTTGCATACCAGAAATTTAATAACGACATTTGGTCGCTTAACGAAGAGAAATAAAATGTTCATTGACAAAACTATGTATACTGCGTATTAATGTTTGCGTGTGCATAAATTATGTGTAATAAATGCCTTTTCACTATTAAAGCATACATTTTTAAAACATAGATTATGAAATTAATGAATTAGTTTTTATTATAAACCCACTGATGTTAGATTATTTTGACATTTACGCGTGAAAATTGCTCCTACTCTTTTAACGAGATTCCATTTAAAATCATATTGGAATTTTACAGTGTACAGCGAATTGCATCAGATTTAATGAAAAAAAAGTACAGTTGGAACACGAAGCTTATTAGAAATAGAAACGAAATGAAATGAAATGAATAAAGAACAAATCGAAGACCCATTTTCGCGCCGTTTTATAAAAAAAATGGGAGTATATCGAAAGTTAAAATTATGCACATCTACAAAAGAAATGTTTTATACGTAATTTAAGGTAATTTAAGTTACGTCTTTAAACTGGCAAAACAATTGTTTACTTAAGTGCACAAGCATTTCTTTGTAAATAGAAAGTTTCACTACACAATCGCAAGTTAAGGCGCTAACCCATTTGGGGTGGTGTATGTATATCGTAAATTAGAACAACCTTGTACCTATGACACAATGATATATTAACTCTCACATATAACTAAAATTTATTAATGTCAAGAATGAATAAAACACTTTAATAAATAGTTTTTATTGCTGTCTTAAAATTTTAAAAAACATTACATTCAATTTAAAATATATACTACATCAAATATTTTTTGTATCATTTGTCAAAGGCGAAATTTTTTTTGGCACATTTTAACATTTAGAGAAATTGTTACGTACGAACTTATTAACTAACACACTTTACAATTGTTATATTTAGTATTTTTACTAATTAAATAATTGTTATTTACCTTTTAAACAAAAAATTAAAAAAAATTCTACACAATTTATTCCACAAACATGGCAGTCGAGAAGAATAGGCAACGATTGAAAATTATTCTCTTTTCTTTACACTATTTCGTAAAAAGCAAACAGTGCTGTAAAACGTTAGAATGGTGAAGCGTTCGATTTGTTAGCAAAATATGTGATATATTGAATAGTATATAAATTATATAAAAGCCGTAATTCTTACAGATTTGTAAAAATAATCATCAAGTGTGGTTGAAAAAACTTAGTATCATTTTTTAAATATGTTAAATGCTTTTTTTTATATATGTTTGTTGTTGTTGTTGCTGTGGTTTCTTAAGTTAATGCTATTGCGCACTTTTACTCTTTAGTGGCTGGGGGGCTTATCCCTGCCCCACACTAAGCTTTAACTATACTGGAATTCGTATCTATCTTTTCTTTTGTCCGCACTAAAACTTAAGATGCAAAACTTTTTACAAGTAAAGCTACATTTAGATTAAAGTACTTAACTCTACAATAGCAACATGTGCCATTTTATATACAAAATCCATATACACATATATACTAAACAGATACGATAATTCTACGTGTAAACATAATATAAACTGTCAGACTTTAAATTAAAAAAATTGTAGTTGCCAGAGAAAATTTTAAAATTTTGACTTGTTTAAACTTCTATTTGCTAACATATACTTTGCTAACATATACTTTCACAATTGGTTTCATTATTTTGCTGGAAAAAATTATCAAATGGGGTATAAAAGCTTTGAAAAATGTTCAAAACGTCGTAAACTCTGTGACGTTAATAGTCAAGACATGTTTTTTGAGGAACGCGACGGAATTCCGCACTTCAATTGTAGAATAACTTCTAGTATCTTAAAAGAGACGCTTGCTTATGTATACAGGTACATGAATCGAATGACACGTAAATTTGGCGCACCTAAGAGAATCGCCCATAGTGCCACTTCGCTTTTTAAACAAGTAAAAAAGTACTTTTAATTCTTTAATTATTTATATAAATTTTCTATAACATAGTTGGAAGATTTGAAAGTGCAATACTATTACTCTAACATGGCGAAAATGACCTCGTGCTTATATATAGTAATGGTTCTAGAATCTATACCGAGTACCATTAAACAGTTGTCCTTAGCTTCTGGAGTCTGCAGTGAACAAATTACTCATTGTCATTTAGTTATAATCAAATTACTAAATATAGATATGAGTGACACTGATGACGCCTCTTATATGCTCCGCATTTCTAAATATTTGGGTAAGTTTAGTAAATATATACTTAATAGTAAATATTTAAATAGTAAATACTTAATTTTACTTAGAACTTAATCTGCCAACGACGCAGTTGGCAAGGAAAATAGCAAACAATGCATTGGAGATGGAATTTATGTTTAATACTTCAAAGGAATCTTTAGTTGCAGCGTCAATTTATATGGCATGCCAGGTCTGTACACTTATAAGTGTATTCCACTTTTTTTGATCATGTATTGGTTGAACAATTACGATTATAACATTCCATTTCTATTAGGTGATGCAAATTGATTTAACGCAGGATGCAATTCTCGAGATGGTAGGAGTAAGTTTTAACCAATTTAAAAAAGTTTATGCAGTTCTCACGTGGTATGCCTCGGAAATCTTCCTTGTAGACTCCGAATTTCGAAGAAATGCAAAACAAGTGTTTAAATTACCATTTCACATGTAATTTAATACATTAATATCATTTAGTCATATATGATATTAACGTATCCTATGCAACTTTCTATTCCTATGAAACAATATCATCCTTGGATTACGGTAAATGTGACAGGGAAATCCAGTGAAGCCACTTCGACGTATTTGATT